CCCTATAAAATAAACCAAAAATCATCATAAAACCGCCCAAAATTGCCCAAAATCCCCGGAATTCAGCCCAAATGTTCTCCTGAGACTCACCTGAGACTCACCTGAGACTCACCTGGGCACCTCAAATCCTCATTTTTAACCCCAAATCCACCCCAAAAATCCCTATAAAATCCCCCAAAAATCCCTATAAAATCACATTAAAACCGCCCGAAATTGCCCAAAATCCCCGGAATTCACCCCAAATTTCCCGGGAGGACTCACCTGACGAGCATGGCGCGCACCTGGTCGGCCTCGGGGAACAGGTCCCACACCTTGCCGTTCATCTTCTCGTTGACCACGAAGCGGTGGCAGCGCCGCCAGTCGCCCGTCTTCATGGCCTTGGAGGCGGCCACCACGTGCTCGCGCATCGACTCGGGGGGGCCTGCGGTTTGGGGTGAAAAACGGCGATTTTGGGCAAAAATAATGGGGATTTTGGGCAAAAAAAATGGCAGTTTTGGGGGTTGAAAGGGGGGGTTTTGGGGTTAAAATGGGGGTTTTTGGGGGTTGAAAGGGGGTTTTTGGGGTTGAAATGGGGTTTTTTTGGGGTTTTGGAGGTGACAAAAACACCTGGGAGAGGTGAGACTGAAAAATCTCCATTTTGGGGTGAAAACCGGCAATTTTGGGCAAAAATAATCCAATTTTTAGGGATTAAAATGGGGTTTTTGGGAATTAAAATGGAGGTTTTGGGGGTTGAAAGGGGGTTTTTGGGGGTTAAAATGGGATTTTGGAGGTGACAAAAAGGTCTGAGATAGGTGGGACTGAAAAATCTCCATTTTGGGGTGAAAAACGGCGATTTTGGGCAAAAAAAATGGAGATTTTGGGGGTTAAAAGGGGGGTTTTGAGGTTGAAATGGGGGTTTTTGGGGTTGAAATGGGGTTTTTTGGGGTTGAAATGGGGTTTTTTGGGGTTTTGGAGGTGACAAAAACACCTGGGAGAGGTCAGGTAAAAATCCACCCGGATTTGGGGCGAAAAATGGCGATTTTGGGCAAAAAAATGGGAGTTTTGAGAGTTAAAAGGGGGGTTTTGGGGGTTGAAAGGGGGGTTTGGGGGTTAAAATGGGGGTTTTTGGGGGTTGAAATGGGGTTTTTTTTGGGGTTCTGGAGGTGGCAAAAACACCTGGGAGAGGTGAGACTGAAAAATCTCCATTTTGGGGTGAAAAACGGCGATTTTGGGCAAAAAAAATGGGAGTTTTGGGGGTTAAAATGGGGGTTTTGGGGGTTGAAAGGGGGTTTTTGGGGGTTAAAATGGGGTTTTGGAGGTGACAGAAAGGTCTGAGATAGGTGGGACAGGTGAGAGATCTGGGACAGGTGAGACTGAAAAATCTCCATTTTGGGGCGAAAAACGGCGATTTTGGGCAAAAAAATGGGAGTTTTGGGGGTTAAAAGGGGGGTTTTGGGGGTTGAAATGGGAGTTTTTGGGGTTAAAATGGGATTTTGGAGGTGACAACAAGGTCTCAGATAGGTGGGACAGGTGAGACTGAAAGATCTCCATTTTGGGGTGAAAAACGGCGATTTTGGGCAAAAAAATGGGAGTTTTGGGGGTTGAAAGGGGGGTTTGAGAGTTAAAATGGGAGTTTTTGGGGTTGAAATGGGGTTTTTTTGGGGTTTTGGAGGTGACAAAAACACCTGGGAGAGGTGAGGTAAAAAACCAGCCGGGTTTGGGGTGAAAAACGGCGATTTTGGGCAAAAATAATGGGATTTTTGAGAGTTAAAAGGGGGGTTTTGGGGGTTAAAATGGGAGTTTTTGGGGGTTGAAATCGGGTTTTTGGGGTTTTGGAGGTGACAAAAACACCTGGGAGAGGTGAGACTGAAAAATCTCCATTTTGGGGTGAAAAACGGCGATTTTGGGCAAAAATAATGGAGTTTTTGGGGGTTGAAAAGGGAGTTGTGGGGGTTAAAATGGGATTTTGGAGGTCACAACAAGGTCTCAGATAGGTGGGACAGGTGAGAGACCTGGGACAGGTGAGACTGAAAAATCTCCATTTTGGGGTGAAAAACGGTGATTTTGGGCAAAAAAATCCAATTTTTAGGGATTAAAATGGGGTTTTTGTGGATTAAAATGGGATTTTTTTGGGATTTTGGAGAATGAAATGATCTGGGACAGGTGAGAGGCCTGGGACAGGTGAGGTTAAAAAACCCCGGATTTGGGGTGAAAAACGGCGATTTTGGGAAAAAAATTCCAATTTTTGGGGATTAAAATGGGGTTTTTGGGGGTTAAAATGAGATTTTGGGGGTGACAAAAAGGTCTTGGATAGGTGAGAGAGGTGAGAGACCTGGGACAGGTGAGACTGAAAAATCTCCATTTTGGGGTGAAAAACGGCAATTTTGGGCAAAAAATATCAAATTTTTAGAGGTTAAAAGGGGATTTTGGGGATTAAAATGGGATTTTTGGGGCTGAAACAGCAATTTTGGGACCGACACCGAATCGAGAGAATTACGGACCTCAAAACCCAATTTTTGACCCCAAAATTTCAACCCAAAACCTCCAAATTTGGTCAAAAACCCCCAACCGTGGTCTGAGGAACCTCAAGAAGATCTAAAATCTCCATTTTAAGTCATAAAAAACCCAAACCAAGACCGAATCAAGATAATTATGGCCCTCAAGAACCCAATTTTGGGTCAAAATCCCTAAATTTTGGTCAAAATCCCCAACCGTGGTCTGAGGAACCTCAAGAAGATCTAAAATCGCCATT